GTGAGTGAAGTGCTGTCAAGTAGCATTGTGTGCTATAGAGAAATCCTTCACGAAGGAATAGTCAATTGATGTAGCAAACTTCATTGTTGTCTTATTTTTAAAAATTGCCACAATCACCCGAACCTTCAGCAACCACCACCCTGGTCAGTCAGCAGCCATCAGCACGGAGTCAAAACTCTCCACCAGCAAAAGAATTATGACTCAATGAAGGCCTAACTGATTAGCATTTTTAAAAAATAAAATATTTTTTAATCAACATATATGTTGTATTTTAGACACAGTGCTATTGCACACTTAACAGACCACAGCATAGTGTACATATTATTTTTATATGCACTAGGAAGCAAAACATATTGTTACTCACTTTATTGCAATATTCACTTTTTTGTGGTGGTTTGGAATGGAAACAGCAACAGAAGCAAGGACTGCCTGCATTTATAGTTTTGCATATAGAGATCTTGTACATATTTAGCAAGATTTATTTATGAGTATTTAGATAATTAAATTACTATCTCAACAAATGAAGAAAAATTCCAAATTCATTTAATAGTGAAAACTGTAAGGTAGTTTTGGGTATTGCCAAGGTGTGGCCCCTGCTCCTTCTGAGGGCAGCCTGCATCATAAACGTGTCAACATAATTTATTGTGAGTATATAAACAGCCAATTTCCTCCAGCCAAAAGACAGGAAAAGTAGAAGACCATGCCCAGTAGCCCAGTATTTAATTATGAGAGTATTAGAACTCCAGAGAAGGTTAACATCTCAATGCAGCCAGGTCTGCTATGCTAAGATTAAAGCCATGATTAGTAAAGGACTCTGGGGTGTGAAATGGGGACATTTGGAATAATGCACTTGAAAATACTGAAGCTCCAGAATTCCCTTAACTATCTGGATGCATAGACGTGGCATATTCCTTCTTGTGAGAGAGTAGTGCTCCAACACTGCTTGAAGTTAATGAAAAGTCCTCTGCCTTATAAGACAAAATATGATTGCCCCCAACTGCTCTCCTGGTCACCAGATCTATAACTATTTCACAACAAAACTTATTAAGAAAATGTTGGCTTTCTAAGGGAAAGGGGACAGGGCTTATACCTTACATAGAACTGCAGGATCTAGCTTAAATTCACTGTCATGAACTAAGATATGTACAATTAAACTGGATACTGGGGGTGCTCGATCAAGTGAATGGAATATAATGCATTTTACACCAAAGACTGCAGGAGACAGTGCTAATACTTTGCTAGGATAGCCATTAGAAAACTTGGAGAAAGAGATGGTCCACATTAAGTGACTTACAAATGCTGAAATTGTTAAAGTAGATTGGGAGGAGGGAAACAACAGACCAAAAAGTGAGTTTGCAAGATTAAACAGTATTATGTAAGGCCAGAACACCCACAAACTGACAAAAAATGGATCCTTTTTATCAGAGAAATGAGGAATGTACTAATAGTGGGGAATAGTAGTTAGAAAAGCTTTCTCTCCTCTACAGGTCAGAGATTACAGCAGGAGACACCATTTCAGAATTAGGTTCATGGAGTGCAAGGGGATGATAGAATAATAATAGAAGTCAGATGGCAGATCTTAATTCTAGAAACAAGATTTATGAAATTAATATAAGTGGCAATGCTAGAGTGGCAGACAAAGAGACATGTCTTCACACAAATATGAAGATGGTGAATTAAAAACTTGAGTTGATAGGGACATATATATATATATGTCTATATATGTATTAGACCCTGTCTGTATAGGAAACTGCATAGTAGAGACAGGGTCTCACTATGCTTCCCAGGCTGGTCTCAAACTCCAGGGCTCAAATGGCCTCCAAATTGCTGGGAATATAGGTATGAGCCCCAGCACCCAGACGATCACTCCTTTTCTACTTTCTGAAAGTGTTCACATGACTTTATTTCTTCAGTGTTTGACAGATTCACCAGTGAAGCCATCTGGACCTAGAGTTCTCTTCACAGGAACAGTTTTGATTACTAATTACTGAACAGATTTAGAAAAATTCATAATTTTTATCTTTTTTTTGAATGATCCTTGGTAGTTTGTGTCACTAAAACGATGTATCAATTTTAGCTAAATTGCCAAATTTATTTGCATCAAGTTGTTCACAATAACATTATCCTTTTATTAACTGTAAAATATCCAGTGATATCACATCTCTCATTCCTGTCATTCATCAGTTGCCTTCTTTCTCTCTTTTAACATTAATCTCACCAGGATTTTATTAGTCTTTTACAGATCTAACTTCTGATTTTATTAGTTATCTCTATTTAATTTTTTTCATTCATTAATATTTGTTCTCATCTTTAATATTTATATTTATCTATATATCTTGGATTTAAATTGCTTTTTAAAAAAATTTTCCATAATGGAAGCTTAAATAATTGATTTTAAATTGTTCTTCTTCCCTAATATCATTTACAGATACAAATTTTTCTCAAAGCACAACTTTAATGTCATTCTAATTTTTATAAGTTTTTAAAATTTTATTTTGGTTTAAAATATTTTTCTAACACTCTCATGACTTCTCCTTTGATGCATAGATTACTTAATGTGTCTGAAATTCGCAAATATTTGAGAAATATTTTAGGCTGAATAGCCCCCAAAGATATCTGCATAATAATCCCTGGAAACTGTGAATGTTACCTTACATGGCAAAAAAGACTTTGCAAGTATAAAATTAAGGGTCTTAGATGGGAAGTTTATCCTGTATTACCTGGGTATATCCTAACTGTAATCTCAAGGGTTTTATAAAATGAAAACAAAGGGAGACTTGAATACTAAAAAGAAGGCAAGGAAACAACAGAAATTGATTTGCAGTGATGTGGCCACAAGCTGAGGGATGCTAGCAGCCACCAGATGATATAAGAGACAATAGTTTCTCTGTCTGGAGTCGCCAGAAGAAACCAGCCTTATCAACAACTTGATTTTATACTCATAAGACTCATTTTGTATTTCTGACCTACAGAGCTGCATGAAAATTATTTTCTGTTTTTAAACCAAGTTTATGATAATTCATTTACAGCAGCAATAGGAAACTAATAGTGGAATTTTACCGGATACCTTTCAGTTATTAATATCTAATTTGCAGTTTTAGTCTAATTATATATGCTGTAAGATTTAAGTATTTTGAAATATATTGAAATCTATTTTATGAGCAAAATATGATTTTGGTGAATATATGTCAGTATCAATGCATGAGACAGAATTCACATCAGTAATTGGTTATCTGCTTTCAAACATTGTACTGTATATCTAAAAAAGTCTTTCTTTTATATCTGGGTTTGGCTTTCTCTGTTCTTATTGGGCTTAGGTTTAGCTAAACTTCTTGAACCTCTAAATCAATGTGTTTTAAAAATAATATTTGGAAAATTTTTACCCATTGTATGCTTTATTTTTATTCTCTTTTTCATACGGAATTCCAATTGCATGTATATTAGACCATTTGCTGTACTTCCACAGGTCCTGGAGCCCTTAATCACTTTTCTTCAATATTTTTCCACTCTCTGTTCTTCACTTTGAACAATGTCTATTGATGTTTTAGAGTTCACTAACCTTTTACTTCAGCCAACAGCACTATTTATTCCTGCAGGGATTTTTAAATTCAATTATTTAACCCATCTGTAATTTATTTTGCTTTCAGGGCTAAAGAAAGAAACAATCTTCTAAATATTTTATCTTCCTTGATGGTTGGTTATCTCAAGGCAATTTATTGAATTAGACATTAGTTTTCAAATAGAGCTCCACAAAAATCTAGGTGACACTCTCTTTCTCTAGAGTCTATGCATTGCTTCAATGATTTCAAATGTAGATTTCTGATCATGTCATTTCCCCAAAATTAACAGTATTGTAAACAAAACCCATTTGCATAATTTGGGATTAAATGCCTTTTATCTAGGGGAGTAAATAGTAATTGCAGTCCCCAAGGAAAATCTTATATGGGCTACTTGCAAAAATGGTGTCCTTTGTTTCTTTTGTAAATAGAGAAATTGCATACAGCTAAAGAGACAGAAGTTTTTAAGAAACTCAGGCTAATTTTTTATGCAGCTCAATTTTGCCAAAATATATGTTAATAAGTGTTCTTTTTATCAGCCATTTAATTTTATCATAAATTTTATTCATTTATAAGACTAAATTTTCTTGACATATGATTTTTAGAGTTACATATAGAGTAATATATAGATGGTTATATATTCATCATTACTATTCCTTCCAAAAAAAAAGGGAATAAATAAATAAAGATGAAACTTCAATTCTTTCTTTTTTCTGCCAAATTGTTATTAAACCAGAAGTTTCTACCTCCAAAATCAAATCTTAAATTCAGGCTTTTGTCTTTCCTCAACTTGTCATGTGTGTGTGTGTGGGGAGGAGGGGACAGGCAGGGGTGTATACATATGTATGAGAGAGAAACAGAGAGAGAGAGAGACTGATAGGGTTTTTTAATGAGAGAAAAGTTGTGGTCAGTCTTATATATTAAAAAAAACTTTTAATAAACCAAAATCATAATAGGTTTTGAAGCACTACTCAACAGTAGGGTTCAGTAATAAATTTTTTCTCGAACCTGGCACCCTTTTCTATTAACCATTCAAGGGAAATATATACACACAATAAGGAAAATGGAAAATAAATTGCTATACTATTTTTAGCTTAATATTGGTAATCACAAATGCAGAACTTTCTAAAATTTGTGACTTATATACAAAGACTAAGTGAAGCTTCATTTTCTCCCTACAACCAAACTTTAATGTTACCACGAAACAAGCAACAAGTCAAAGACATGACCAAGTTATGATATACTCAACAGATAAAAACACGAAGTCTACAGAGCGGTGTTGCAGGGATTTAGGCAAGGCATTCCTTTGTAAATTTGACATAGTGAAGATACAAAGCAAAAGTTAAACAAAAAAAGTTTTTTGGAAATGCTCAGAGGCAAGACCTGTGTCCTTTTACAAAAATAATTTTATGTAGTATAATAAGATTCTGTTTTACACCACTTTGAATCTCCTTTTCCCCCCTTCTTTTTCCAGCCACTGCTGCAGGGAACAGCTCCAAAGCTTGGATCAATTTTACACAAGTGCAAATTGTCAGTACCTTTACCTCGGGCTCAAATCATGTAACTTTTTCATGTACCCTAGGTCTCCTCACACTGTTTCTCACAAGGTTTATTTTGCACTGGCTTAGTGGAATGTCTGCCTAAACTGCTCAGAACTCATGTGAAAGTTAACACTTATGTGATTACCTTGACCAATGGAGGATGGAAATCACTGGATAAATGCTTTCTCTTCTCTTCCCCGAGGGAGGCAGTTTGAGGTCCACTTCATAGAGTTCTGCAGAAAGGCACACTGGATCAAGAACTAGTCATTCATGCTGTCAGACAAGTTGATAATGCATTTCTCCAAATTGGCGGGGGTTTTTCTTCCCAGTTACTGTCCTCCCTGTACCTCACTCCTAATCTGTGGAAACACATTCTCACATGAAATAGTTATATATTATTCTCATCTCATGCTCTGCTTCAAAAGGGAAATCCAGCCTAAGTAAATAGCAGAAGAAAAAGAGTGTCGGTACCCTTTAATTTATCATCACCACATACTCTAGGAAATAATCTAATCAGTACATTAGATTAGCACCTTCCCTCAAAAAAAAAAAAAAAAAGCAAGAAGAAGATGGAGAAATAAGCAAATTCTTCCTCTTCATTTGTAAATGACTGTCAAGAAACCTAAAGTTTGGTGGAAGTAAAAATCTACTTCAAAAAACGTCAAAGAAATGAATCATTAAGGTGTGTAATATTAACTGTAAGTACTGCAAAAGTGTTCAGGGAAAAGGGAGGCTGACAAGATTCTTACTAGAGAAGGCCTTATGACACAGGGGTTCAGTGTGTCTTAAAAATGGTTTATATGAACAGAAACTGGAAGTTATTCTAGGAATGGAGTTTAGAGTGGGTAAATGGGAGCATTTTATGCATAGTCGAAGAAATGGACATGATGAGTGAATGGTAGGATTGAATCAGAGAAGTAGGGTAGCAGTCAAGTTGATTTGTGCTTCATTTCTGCCCTTCTGTAGGCAATCTGCCCTTCCTCCCATATACCTCCACCAGTTACAAACATGCGTGTTTTCTGCCTAAATTTGATTCACTTACCTGCTTCTGGATTCTTGGTTTTCACCACCCATGAAGACTTCGTCCTTGGTTATTATCTGGCTTCTTTCTAGGATCCATACATTTTCATGGTTTTTAGCATATGTAAAGCTTTGCTACAGCTGCTTTAATTCACCCCCACATACAAATTTTACTGCCTGAGCCAGAACTGTCCCTTCCTAAGAAAAGACAGAGTTAGAAATATAGGGTGGAACCAGTTTGTAAAGAGTCTCAGGCAAATTAGAAGAGGTTAGACATTATCCCTCAAGTATAGGTTCAATTTCTGGTTCTAATTTAAACATCAAGTTCAACTCCTTTTATATTATAGCTTCCTAGGACTTAACAGATACTTAAGGCAAGAATAGGAATAAAGAGATTCAAGACTGGCTGGACGCATTGGTTCACACCTGTAATCCTAACACTTTGGGAGTCCAGTGCTAGAAGATCACTTGAGGTCAGGAGTTTGAGACCAGCCTGGTCAACATGGCAAAAACCCATCTCTTATTTAAAAAAAAAAAAAAAAACAGAACAGAACAAAACAAAAATACAAAAATTAGCTGGACACAGTGGCTCACACCTGTAGTCCCAGCACTTTGGAAGGCCAAGGCAGGCAAATCACTGGAGGTCAGGAGTTCAAGACCAGCTTGGCCAACATGGCAAAATCCCATCTCTACTAAAAAAAAAAAAAAAGGTAGTACAAAAATTAGCTGGGTATGGTGGCACATGCCTGTAATCCCAGCTACTTGGGTGGCTGAGGCATGAAAATCACTTGAAGCCAGGAAGCAGAGGTTGCTTATTCACTATCACAAGAACAGCGTGGGAAAGACGTGCCCCATGATTCAGTTACCTCCCACTAGGTCCCTCCCACAACATGTGGAAATTCAAGATGAGATTTGGGTATGGACACAGCCAAAGCATATCATTCCACTCCTAGCCCATTCCAAATCTCATGTCCTCACATTTCAAAACTAGTAAAGCTTTCTCAACAGTCTTCCAACAGCTTACCTCATTTCAGCATTAATTCAACAGTCCATGGTCCAGTCTGATCCAAGACAATGCAAGTCCCTTCAACCTATAAGCCTGTAAAATCAAAAGCAAGTTAGTTACTTCCTAGATACAATGTGGGTACAGGCATTAGATAAACACAGCCATTCCTAATGGGAGAAATTGGCCAAAACAAAGGTGCTACAGGCACTATGCAAGTCCAAAATCCAGCAGGGCAGTCAAATCTTAAAGTTCCAAAATGATTCCCTTTCATTCCATGTCTCACATCCAAGTCAAGCTGATGCAACAGGTGACTTTTCCAGGTGCATCATGCAAGCTGTCAGATGGATCTATCATTCTGGGGTCTGGAGAATGGTGGCTTTCTTCTCATAGCTTCACTAGATAGTACTCCAGTAAGGACTCTGTGTGGGAGCTCCTACCCCACATTTTCCTTCTGCATTGCCCTAGCAGAGTTTCTCCCTGCAGGAACCTTCTGCCTGGGTATCCAGTCATTTCCATATATCTTCTGAAATCCAGGTGGAGGTTCCCAAACCTTAATTCTTGACTTCTGTGCACCTGCTGGCTCAACACCATGTGGAAGCTGCCAAGGCTTAAGGATTGCACCCTCTAAAGCAACAGACAAAGCTGTACCTTGGCTCTTTTAATTCATGGCAGGAGTGTCTGGGATACAGGGTACCAAGTCCCTATGCTGCATACAGCAGAAGGACCCAGAGTCCAGCCTATGAAACCATTTTTTTCCTCCTAAATCTCTGGGCCTGTGATGGAAGGGGTTCCTGTGAAGATGGCTGACGTGCTCTGGAGACATTTTCCCCCATTGTCCTGGGGTTTAACATTCAGCTCTCATTACTTATGCAAATATCTGCAACTGGCTTAAATTTCTCCTCAGAAAATGGGATTTTCTTTTTGATCTCGTTGTCAGGCTGCAAATTTTCCAAATTTTTATGCTCTGCTTCCCTTATGAAATTGACTGCCTTTAACAGTACCCAACTCACCTTTTGAATGCTTTGCTACTTAGAAGCTTCTTCTACCAAATACCCTAAATTATCTCTCTCAAGGTCAAAGTTCCACAAATCTCTGGGGCAGGGGCAAAATGCTGCCAGTCTCTTTGCTAAAACATAACAAGTGTTACCTTTTCTCCTGTTCCAACAAGTTCCCCATCTCCATCTGAGACTGCCTCAGCCTGGACCTTATTGCTCATATCACTATCAGCATTTTTGGCAAAGCCATTCAGTAAGTCTCTAGGAAGTTCCAAATAGTCCCACATTTTCCTTTTTCCTTTTCCTTTTTCTGAGCCCTCCAAAGTGTTCCGGCCCTGCCTGTTACACAGTTCCAAAGTCTTTTCCATATTTTTGGGTATCTTTTCAGCAATGCCTCGTTCTACTGGTGCCAATTTACTGTAGTAGTCCATTTTCACACTCCTGATAAAGACATACCCAAGACTGGGCAATTTACCAAAGAAAGTCTTATTGGACTTACAGTTCCCTGTGGCTGGGGAGGCCTTATAATCATGGTGGAAGGTAAAAGGCATGTCTCACATGGTGGCAGACAAAAGAACTTGTGCAGAGAAGCGCCTTATTTTAAAGCTGTTCAGATCTCATGAGACTTATTCACTATAGCTAGAACAGCACAGGAAAGACATGCCCCCGTGATTCATTTACCTCCCACCAGGTCCCTCCCACAACATGTGGAAATTCAAGATGAGATCTGGGTAGGGACATAGTCAAATCATATCAGCATATCACAGGGCAAGAGAGGGAGAAAGGTGGAATGTTGTTTTAAACAACCAGATCTCATGTAAACTCAGAGAAAGAACTCCTCATTATTCCAAGGACAGCATCAAAGCATTCATGAGCAACCCACCTCCACGACCCAAACACCTCCCACCAGACCCCACCTCCAACATTGAGGATTACACTTCATCATGAGATTTAGAGGGGACAAACATCCAAACCATATTGGTGAAAGAAAAAAAAAATCATGATTCTTAGGATTCTACTTTGGGCAATTGGATATCTTTTGAAAAGGAAAGTGGGAAATAAAATATGAAGCTTTATATTTTAGCTTCTAGCACTCATCTGTTTGATGACATTTTGTGATCTCTAAGCTTCACTTGCTCTGGACCTCAAATATTTTCTCATTACAGCACATGGCAAAAGACTCAGATTCTGGATCCAGCCTGTGTGAAAATTCTAACACTTTTTAGTTGTTTGACAAAAATGTTTAATTTCTTTGTGCCTCAGTTTTTCTTTTAACCTGTGAAGTAGTGATAATAATTACACCCAAGTAATTGGGTTGTTGTGAGGAATAAAAGACTTCTTACATGGAAAATAATGAAGCATTGTCCAGCCCACAATAAATACTCAGGACGTATCAACCATTAACACCTAGATTTCTTTAAAAAAAAAAAAAAGACAATTTATTTGCCAGTCAAAATCTCATAAAACCCAGCCCAGCCAGAATGGTGCCAGTCACTTTGTTTGATGAGAGGATTAAAACAGACAGGCTGAAAATATAATTCATTGTATTTTGTTAAAATACAACTACATTTTGTTAAATGTAGTTAACAATTTTATTTTTGATATATAAATACTTATACATTTGGAATTTTAAATGTCATTTTCAAGCATTAATTCTTCATAACAGAATATACTGATTATCAAGTAGGAAAAGATTACATAGCAGTTAACTTTTCCCCTGAGATTGGAAATGGGGCATCCAATCTCAATGTGTCACCGGGGGACACAACTCCAGTGGATCCCAAGGTGAGTCATGCTATGCATAGGCTGTGCAGCTAAACAAGGAGGTTAGTGAATAGATTGATAAAAGGAGGAGGACATGGCATCTTATGATACATGGCAGCTTCCATCCAAATAATGTCAGCATAAACAGAGCTCCTTGTTTCTCATGCTTAGCATGAACTATGTGAGTAATAGCTAAGTAGCTCCTGTTTTCTTTGAAAATTATCAATCCATTGGAATTAAAACCATTGTTAAGTTAAAAAAAAATTGAACATGTTTTTCCTGCATCAAAAGCATGAATTATTCATTTTATGTTTAGATTCTCCAGGATACTTTCTTAGGATAACTTTTAGAATATGAATTTATAAATGAATATTAGGATATAAAACCATGAAATTGAAAATATTAACAAATCATTGCAAGCAAGAAGTGTCAACTACTAATAATCACAGGAAAGCTACAAAGCAATATGGGGTTACTGTTGTTTTTCATCTTCTTTTTAAATTGCCTCATAAACAATATGTAAATGTGCTAAAACTCCTTTAAAAATGTTTTGTTGGGAGAAGATACTCTAATGCAGAGCATACAGTTAGAATTTATCTCTTAAAAGTATGAGTTTTATAGAGCTCAGGGACCATCCTGTCACAGTTTGCACCAATTTTGTTCCCTTAGACAGGCTTATTTCTGGCTGAATTTGCTAGAAGGTATGTCAGCACAATGAAAAATAAATAATATAAAAGAATTAGATGAAGACAGAAGCAGTTATTTCTAGTCCCCACTGCCTTCCCAGGAGAATATATCCCAATAATTGGAGGTTCCATTGTTTTGTTAAAGTACAATAGGTGAAATGATGCAAGATTTGAGAAGCCAGTGTAGGAAATATATAGGCCATTTATGTATATTATAGGTGTACATAAAGAAGAAAGCAAGCTAGAATATAAAATCAGACCCATGTAGAGACACAAGACTTTGGGCAGAACAGAAGTGTCTGATGATGAGAATTCATAATAATTAAATTAAATCATTTGATAAAGTAATTATTGCTGTGTGATATAAAATGTAAACTATTTTCTTCACTTCTCTCCAAAAGTTTCTGTAAAATATGCAGTAATCACATACGCTTGGTGGACTGGATTTACAACAAAGCCCTTGACTTTTCTGAAGATGAGTATAAAAGAAAAGTCAAACAAAAACCAAGGCTGTCAGAAGAGCACATCACACGGAAAGTTTATACCAATGAAAGATAGACCAAAGGACTCTGAAATTATGGGAGGAAAATTACACAGAGGTTTTTCCATGGTCATGTATCAGAAAACAGTAGTATTTTCTAAAATGGCCTTTTATTCCACATTTTTAAAAATGAGATTTCATTAAAAAAAAAAACTGGATATTAGGCCAGGCATGGTGGTTCAGTCCTGCAATCCTAGCACTTTAGGAGGCTGAGGTGGATGGATCACGAGGTCAGGCATTCTTTGAATCTGGGAGGCAAAGGTTGCAGTGAGCTGAGATGGTACCACTGCACTACAGCCTTGGCAATACTGTGAGACTCCATCTCAAAATAAATAAATAAATAAATAGATAGATAGATAGATAGATAGATAGATAACAAAATAAACGATATTAGCAATTGCTTAAGCAGAGAACATACTTGTATGCAATAGAATACTTTAGTCGTAATTTAGTAGATGTTTGAAATTATCATTGAACACAAAAGAAACAGAAATCATTGTGTGAAGGAATACACAGCTGTGCATTTCAATGACAGGCTGTTTTCCTATGATACGATAGCAGCTGAAAGACAGGGATATGCAGGAGCTCTAGGAAGAGTACTAAGATGGCAACTTCTCCTTAGGTTGCAAGCCAAAGTCGTTTATTTATTTGTTTTTTGGCCTAGATTCACTGGGTACAGAGAAAGGTCAACATGTTAAAGCAATGTATTCAAACATTTAAAAGATTTGAAATAGCCTGGGCACTGGGGAGTCATTCTAATTGCTGCTTTAAATACCATTTGGGAAGGTCAAAAGGATAGCCTGCAGACGGACCGCACTGGAGGGATAACCTCCACCCGGCAGGCTGCAGGGCTACAAATCCCAGGGAGGCTCCAGGGCTGGGGTCGGCTGCAATCTGCTGCCAGCCAGATCCTGTGCAGCCCACAGGGGAACGTACCCGGAGAAGGACGAGCAGAACATGGCTGCCTAACAGATGGCACTGAAACCTGCCGCCTCTGGTGAGAGAAAAATCTGCCAAAACCAGGTGTTTCACAGGTTTTCCACTTTTTTTTCTCTTTTCTTCCCTTATTTTATTTTTGGACTTTCTCTGTATGGGTCTATTCCAAAA